TATGCTATCGGTATTTTACCTTTCAACTCCAGCATGATTATGTAGCCATAAATCTTGTACTAGTTCTCATCAACAGAGGATGTATATGTTGTACATGTATAATATGTTACTTTTTTACTACAAATATATCACAAGCTGCAATGTCCAGAATATTGCTTACTAGGAAGACCTATGGATCTTTTCCAATACTACCTTGAACCATGGAAGATTTACTTTAAGATGTAAATACACCTTAGATTGATCTCGGTACGAGGGGTCAGTAAATGTTACCTGGATAATTTGCCTTTGTTTGCTGGCGTGGGCGGGAATTCATAAATGAAAACTGCCAAAGTCTCTCATTATTTCAATTATGAAACCTTTTCCTGGCATGTTAAAAACAACCAAAACGGTCATGGAATAAGCGAGAAAATAAATCAATCAACAAGATGGTAAATGCATATGTAAATAAACAATGCAAAAACAGACAAACGAAAGAAACAAACAAGCAAAGTTGTCTGGAAGAGTTTAATTTCAACAAAATGGCCAAGATATTTTAAGTAGAATATTTCACAATAGCAGTTATGCTGGGTACAACAGGTGTTTGAAGCTCCGACATTGAAGATGAGCCCAGCAACGGTTCAGCACATTGCAAAAGGCCGCGTGTAACAGTATAAATCGTAGGCCTTCATCCCATAATAGCCAAAGTATACGTTATCTGTTAAACGGGGATTGATGGCAACCATACATGTCTATTTAATTTATTGGAATTCTGAAGAAGTGTTTTTTTGTATGTGTGTTATCTTTATTAACATTGTCAGGGCTTTGGTTTTGGGATAATTGCAGTCTTTTGCAAAATCTGTTGACTGTTAGTATCAAATTCCCTTCATTGAATCATATGACACCACCAATATGCGTTCTTACGTCTATATACCGGTATATGGTCATGGTGCCATTGCATTAATTGTTTTTTATACTTTACAGAGATCAACTAGCCGCCACATGTCAGAGTAATTTTTCTAACCTTGTTACATACAACATATGTCCCGTGTTAAAATACATGTAGCAAAGTGCCCATGTCCTCACATGTCACTCCCGCTGGCCTGCCATTGTGCCATGTAATCAATGTAAATGGAGCCAACTAAAACAGACAAAATATGTTTGATGTGAACAAAGTATCTACGCTGCGCAAACACCATTAGTATCAATTTATTGTTATTATTAAAAACTGAGTACCATTCTATTTTTGACGTCTGTTTGGTTTTCACTGCAACTTGTTTTGGTCGGATTACATGTGTTTTGATTACGTTATTGAATTACCCTTATTGACATGATCTGGTAAGGTTGTTGACGTAACTGACACATTATTCGGTTGCAGCTCATCAACTGATAACGTGACCTTCACCTTCGCCTGTCATTTCACCAAATGTTAACGTTGTTCCATGCATCAATGTTAAAAGGTGTTACAATCTCAGAGTGCCGAGGAGTTTGAAAAAATACCAGACGCTGGTTGAACCGGACATTTGAAACCTGCTGAGGTCTCCTCAGAATCCCCACAATTTGTTTTGAAGCAGCTTTAGACAGTTTTCTAAACCAATTGCTCTTCCTTGGATCGGAGCCAATATGTTTTCATATTGATAGGAACTTTATGTTTTGTCTCTCGCTGTCTGTGCAAACCTGATCATTTGTGATAAATGAGTCGACTTTATTTGATTGTAAGTGAAATATGAAGAGAGCTGACATAACAATCACCGCTATTTAATGACAAAACACATGCAGCTCTCACATATTATTTACATGATCCAGTTGGCACATTTGAAGAAAAAAATAGTTCTTGGTCCATTCTTGAGGATAAATATTCCTCATCTGTGAACGGATATCTACCGTCCATTATTCTGCATACGTTTCTATCGTCAAATTTGATAGAACATTGAATTTGATACCAGTACAATTTTTTTTTTTTTTTTTTTTTTTTTTTTTTTTTTTTTTTTTTTTTTTTTTTACGAAGGCGCCAGATAATTTTTTCTCTCCTTTGAAAAATGGACATCGTACAATTGAGCAGCCAGAAATCTTCAGAAAATCCAACACAAATTTTAATATTCTTCATCTTTAGATTTATTACCAATATACAACCAAAAACATTTAAAATCATTTAATCTTATCATTTTTATTGACGAAAGTTTCTTATTATGGAAATTTAGAGTTTTTAAAAGGACTGGACCCGTGTGTAGGCAATCTATTTTAACTTTTGGTTGGGAAATTTGTTAGTTTACACTAGTTTATGACAACCTTTGTTTACATTGATGTAATTTTATCGTATCTGTTTACCCTTTTCTGAATTCATTTTGTACATGATATACGTTCACGTTAAACATCTTCTATACTTTCATATTTCACAATGAGTATTTAAAGCTGGTCTTGTCTGGCTGAACTTCTTTATTTCCTTTTGCTCATATCGAAACAAACACTGGCAAGGGCATTAATCTACGACATTCTTGAAAGCTTTGGAAAATAAGATGGATTGAAAATTAAGTTTCATATCATTGTAAACACGTAATTTTTCAGAGGGAAAATGGATTTTACATTTGATCAGTTTTACTTGATCAGTGTAGCGGAACATGTTCTCCATTCCATCACAATCAAACGCTTCTGATTTCATTAACTGAACGTAATTTTTTTCACATGGGTCTTGGGAATTCCCATAAAATTAATATCCGAGTTTGTTATTTTTCTTCGCTCGACTAGTCCTGAATTATGATTAGCAAAAGCACTAACACTTTATAGAGTCATTTTCAATTCATCAGGAAAGTGACAGACAATGACTGGCAATGAAATTAAGGCCAACGCGTATGGAATGTAACGAGATAAAATTATTTGGAAGCACTTCTTTTTTCCCCACGCCCCTCTTCTTACACGACAACATTTACGAGAAGTGGCTTTTATGTGTTGAGTGCTTAACTATAATACTTATTAATTATAAGTCATTAATAAAAGTTGCACTTTCTTTTGGCTCAATTATTGTTGTAAAAAAATTCAGAAGACCTAAAATATATCTATTGGCCAATCATCGTCTTTGTTTATACCACGTGGATATTCAGTGGATACAGAACTCCTGCTCAGCACTATCTAGACAACTGGTAACATTGGTAATGCAATCTAAGAATGGCAAGAGAGGTGGCTCAGGTTCGGTTAAGTCAATATTTTCGTAACTGAGACAATGGCAACAAAAAGTGATGCTGTACACCAGAAAGAACAGTTTCCTGTTCCTTAATGTAACTTAAGGCCTAAATGGTCTGCGTTAATATTTGTACCCATACCTCTGGGTTCTGGAAGCTTTTCATGATCCCTCCATTAAAAGTATTTAAACAAGCAACAAAGCACTATCTACCTTTGATCTTAATCTGCTACGCAATAGATGTGCTAAAGCGCCTAAAACAAGAAACGTAATAGCGTGACATAAAGATCAATTGCACATGATTTTCTTGCATACTGGGCCTATTCTCAACTTCAGGTTCCCAAGAGCATCTACAAACGACAGGTATGAATATTTTATTGTGTGCACCGTAATCATTTCACCGCTTTCTATTTTTGGCCAGTCGATCAAAACCGCAGGTATTTCCAGACTTGGATATCTTAGGTTGGGTTTTTGTTTATCTTAAAATTAAGCTTAAACTAGCTTAATTTCTAGAATCTTGTGCTTTAACGCATATTAATCATATTTTAAAACCAGGTTTATATCAGACTATGCCAATGATGCTAAATCAGCATTTTATTTTTTTGTTTTGTATATGATTCTATGGTACATAAGCACGCAATTATTCCCCCATGAAAATGCTGCCAAGACCAGGCCTACCACTTCACGGAAATTGTCTATAGAGAAAATGAACGTTCATATTTTGGTATCAAATCCCACGCTATTGCATGTAATTGCATTTACACTTTCCTGTTATCTTAGTGAACTGCGCCAGTTCCAGTGAACGGCGCGCTCGGTAGCTCTATAATATTATTTGCCATGTTTTTGTGGTATCTTAACTATGGTGCCAGATCTCAGGGGGCATGTCCCAAAAGACAATAGAAGTTCATATCAATGCGCTTGAAGTAAATATTGTCAATATGATATAATTTGCCTTTGTCGGTCTGAAGTGAAATAGATAACATGGTGAAGATAATTAGAGGATAAAAAACCACATAATGCGATGTATACCGTCCATGTGGTAGAAATTTTTTTCCTTTGTGTACATGTAGCATACAAATGTGTCTATTTGATCCGAAAGATTGGCCCACATATGATGGAGTATTCGGTTCTCTCCATAGTGGAGATGTATTTTACAAACAGAAAAGTATATATTTTAATGATACTACATCTATAGATGTGTATCCCTCTATCAGCAGCGACTTGTATGTTGGTCAGTTCTTACAGTGAATCACTGACACCATTTATGTTGTACTGGTATTCTATATGTTTTCGTTGAAATCGGTATGAATAAAACTGATTGACTGATAAAAGTGGCGTAAAACACATAACATTTTTAAAAAGAATTACCCGGTATGTGGTTAATTTTTTTGTGATCCCATCAAAATAATGTAGAGAGGTAAAATGTCATATCTCAAAGAGAATTCACGAAGGAAGAGGAGAACCGATATGCCAAGCAGAAATGGCAGTATAACTTGTTACTGTAACATTTATGCGCATGAAAGTGTAGAGTGACATTGCCAAAGTCTAGACAATTGTGGTAGCTAGGCAGAGTTAAAAAACAAGCCCGTGTGCCCTGTGGAATCGAACGCACTTAACTACTCCCGAGTAGTTATATTATACCTATTCTTTCGACAACTAGTCCCATACTTTGACTCCCCGCCACGCCCTACTGGATTTCTCTTAAAGCAAGTGAGCAGTATTACTAATCGCAACCCCTGAAATCTTGTGACCAATGTAACACATACCCTCTCTCACAGAGTCTTCCTAATTGCAATAGATATATGAAAGCGCGAAAACTGAACCTTGCCCCTCGACGACATCTGTCTGCAGATGATTCTAACACGACGAGCCAACTGCGCAACGCGGTTATTCACGTGCAGACAATCCGTCACACAAAAGTAGAGCACACTGAGTACAGTACAGAACGTTTTCTTTACTATAAATATAATTTATTCGTTACTTTCCAGATATGCTAAAATGGTGGAATAGGAAAGGTTACGGGTTTTGAAGGAAAATTCAGTGGACTGTTGGAAAATGGGAGAGTTTTTGTGTATCGGTGACTATATCAGCTTGTTCTGCGAGGAAACTGAGGGATATGTATACAGTTATCAGACAAGGTGAGTGTTATTTTGAGGTCTTTGATAACATTGCAGCTATGTAGGTTTTAATACGCTTTACAACACATAGCAAAGTTGCGTGTTTATATATAGATGGGTATATGAATAACTGTGCGGTGCGTGATACAAACGGAAATAACCTGAAGAAAATGCAGATCAATGTATGTTTTCTTCTAGCATTTTATTTAAAAAATTACTATAATTTGGATAATCTCATTTCTAGTTATCTCCGTTAGTTATGATTCACTGTGTATACACTGCAGCCATCTATATCAAAATTTACCTTAGACAGATTCTCTAACCGTGCCTTTAATACAATCAATTCCCCTTGGTCGTCCTTATTATACATGTATATTTCACAAAACCTTTCTTTGAAAACAAGGATTGATTTTTTCGGACAGTGAATCTTTTTTGGTCTATTACTCTGTTACGTACTTTGATGAATTAGCAAGTGTCTAATTCTGTAAGATTTTGACGACAGCACGACAAAATTGTTTTGTAGCTTGCATTCCAAGGGGAAAATAATAAAGGTGATGATAAAATACACATATAATTAATGGTTTGGCATGCCTGTTAGGCACTTGATTTTCAAACATGTAAAGGTTGATGGGTGAATTGAGAAACCACTAACTTCGTCAGCATGACAAGATGCTTTTAATGTCACTTTCAATTAGTCTGATCAGAGTTAATGATTGGAATATACCGCCCTGATTAGTGGAAAACAAGCGCACGACACGACGCAGACTGCCTGTAAAACGGTTGTCTGGTAGTATGTCGGTAAGGTAAACGATAAAAAGAATATTGGCCACTTGATGATTTGTACTGGTCTAAGTGGTGTCTGTTCGTGATAATGTCAAGGTAAAAGAAGCTCTCTGAACCGGTTAAAGTGAGCCTAACGCTTTTAATTATCCATTTCTAAATGCACCTCAGCACCTGTTTGTGTAATTAGTATGTGTTGCTAAAGGTAAACTGATGCTTTCCGACAGGAGCTAATTTTTTCATGCTATACAACTGATAGCTGTGGTTTACTGAGCAAGCATTTTGGTAAATATTCTTCTCCGTATTTTTATTTACCTGTTACCGAACAGAATATGCCATATGACCACTTTACAATTCTTATAAAACATTGCTAAAGTCAAGTAGGTGAAAAAAACTACAGGCATGTAAAGACACGATCTTGTTTCCTGTCTGAAACGGGTTATTATTATCAAGCATCGACATAGATATGTAGGAAATAGCACACGGTTGTCAGATGATAAATTAAGTATGAAGTAATGCAAGCCAGCGTCAATACTATTGTTGATTTTTATATCATGTAGGTTACCTTTTGAGTTATTAAGAAGTCTAAAATCAGAAATTACCAGCAGAGAAATGCGCAGTGTACTCTCTGGTTGTGAAGTTAACTTATCATAAACCGACCTTACCCCTATTCTGCGGAAACCTCTTCTATCATTGATCGGTAAATTATCTTCGTAAAATAAAATAATACTTACTGAAATGACTTGTGTCCAGTCAGTCGGAGACGCGAGGCAAGTAATCATATAAATATCATCACAACGATATTAACTATGTAAGAACAAGCTATCAAAAATAATTACGCCGACAATATCATCGCCAATTTCCATTAAGGTAGCGGTCATTAATAATGAACATGACCGTTAGGCGCAGGATTTCTATAAATTGAATTTGCGACTATCTAGAGTCAAGTGTATGTCATTTGCTGGTAAAAAAAAATTTTATGAACTGGACGCTTTATGGAAATCCACGTCCATTTTTAAGGGCTCTTTTGCACTGAACTCTAAACAGCATTCCTTGTTTTTTTTTCTTGGCTATTTCGATTTTTAAATGTATCTTTATCATCGGGAGGTCTCTTTGTGTTTTTAAAAAGCAGGAACTTTTTTGATAATATAGCTTGCAGCCACATACTCGGTACAATGAAAGATGTACAATCAGTAGGAGTGCTAGGGGGTCAAGGTATACTGCAAACCGTTTTATTTTCCACCGTGTTTGATATTGCACGCCACCCATATATTTATACATGTACATACCTTGCGTATATTAACCTGTTATACAGCATCAAAGAAATCATAAGTAGACCATGATCTTGTTTTCGATACGACTATAACGTTTTGACAAGTTTGTAGTGGTGGCTTCCTTTCTTTAATTATGGTTACTTGGATTCCTCTCGTTACATCATGGGATTTACCTTAACTCTACACCCAAAGGGAAAGAGGAAAAGATCGACTTCAGTGGGACCATAACAAGAAAACAAATTGTGGCTCTGATCAAAGTGGCGCGTTTTAAAAGTTATTCAGAGTGCCGTCCTGTGTGTAGAACTTATTTACGTTTGCGCTGAAGTGCAACTTACGCTTAAAGCGCATAGTCGGACGCTTTTTAGCAGTCTGGCAAGTCTAGCGATACAGTCACTGGACGTGCACTTCAATTGAGAGTTAAACAAAACATGTCTGCATTGATTTCTATTAACTAATTGATTTGGAGTCATTACATTGTAGAGCAAGACTCCAGAGACTTTCAAATCTTTGACAGAATTAAATAGAACCTAGTGACGGAAATAATAAGTAAGTAGCGGTGTTTGAAATTATTTTTTGTACCTTTCAAGGAAATTTGCTTTTTTTCTACCACTATTCTGATTTCCTTGCTAACTGAATCTCCTGAGAATCCGTCAAAGCCCCATCCTGAAAAGGGTAGTTTTTCGGTTGTAAAAAGCCTGGGATATATCTCAACTTTCGAATGATATTCCAGGTTTTCAAAAGAAACAATGGTTGAGCTACACACACGTGAGGTGTATAGTCCAAAATAAAAGCATTTAGTTTCTAACAAACGTTTTCTTTCTGTTTTCTCTTAATTTTATATTCAGAAACAATAGGTGAATGTTTCACATTATACTAACCCGACTTTGTAAAGATACCAGCATACATCCATATGGGTAACATGTTTTTGAACTCGGTGAAATAACATGCTAATTAAAGGACTATCCTTTGTAACACCACTGCCCTGTTTCATTTATTTATTTATTTATTTTTTGTCACTTTTGCCTCAGTAAGCGATCGGTGCGGGCGGTCTGTTATCAATAAACTTATCAAATGGATTAATTAGTTAAATATGAATGCTTTGTTTTCGCAGGTGATCAATATATGTGAGTTTATACACCATACGTGTTGTGGGGTTAGCCAGGCGCCTGTTAGGTATTACATCACTTTGGTTCAGATAAAACATGCCCATTAATAATATGCAACGCTGTTACTGCTATATGCGAAGGCGTGCGGCATTAAAATGATAGACAGTGTACAGTGTTCGCCTCAGAGCAAGTTGTAATAAGAGAGTTACCTTGTCCTCGAAGTAAAGGAAAGGGGAAAAAGATGCCAACAAAATACCGCGCGAGCGCCAACCGTCTTAGTTGGCGAATGCCGAAAGGCACTTGCGTGAGTGTAGAAGATGTGCCCTCATGTTCTCACCTTAAATTCTAAATGTCACATTCACAAATGAAAAACAGCAGAAATGACTCTCATTTTCGTCATATTTCCTGGCGTAGATAGTGCTGATACTTTATTCGTGATAATTACCGAGTACATGTAAATCATTCTTCTGTGAATAAGATTAGTGGCAGAAATATGATGACATTAATAGTGACCCAAGCGTGATTGTACTAAATCAAAAACAACCAATTAATAATTTGTTGCAGTTAGAAATACTGTGCTTTTCTACTATTTGTCTGCAGAAAACGAATATGTACCTGTTTTGATTTAGAGTCACTTCTGGTGTAAAAAAGTAATATGAACAGGGCGTAAACCTTTCCCGCACTTCTGAACCTCAGGAGGTGAGCTGTGCCTTCACAAAATTGAAGCCGAGCGTTATATCAGCCCAACGACAGGTTTTATAATTAAAAGTTACCCGTGAGGTTGAAATGATGAATTGACTGAACGTAAATTAACAGAGATACATTGCCTGAACTCAACGACACTTGCCTAACAGTCTGATTAGCAACTGTACTCGATGTGGATGTAACCACCTTTTTTCACTAAATCACTATCCGGTTCATGATTAAATACCGTGGGGAGGGGTTTTGAAATGAAGGTCTCAGTTTACCACTATGAACTACACTGAGTGTATCCCTGGGTGGGGCGATGGACCTTGGTTTTAAAGAGATGTTGAAATATCGCTTTGTACTTAGACTGCACTTTTCAGAATAAAGTCGAACAGAAAAAGACAGAAACGCGACTTTGGATTTAAAGTAAAATGTAAATACTCACTGTTATTTGCCAAATGTCATCTATTCATCACTATTTCAAAACACGAGAAATATAAATTTATTTTATTGGTTATTTCTGAATTTTTAGTTATAAGTCATCACACAAACATGTTGGAATTGTTTTGAACTTGTTAAATTAGCCTGTCTATGAAGATCATACTGGTATATTTGTCACAAAAAGAACTTTGTTAGCACTGTTCATGTATGGTGATATGTTTTTGTATTTCAACCTTAAGCTGCATCTGCTATTTATGAATTCTCTTTACAGTTCTTCGCACAATGGACTATATATTTACCAAGGACAAGACAGAAAGAAGCCCGGAAAAATCCCGAATCCACATGGTAAACCATGAAAGAGCCTATTTCACTCATTGTCGGAAGTTGTAATTGTGTTCTTCCTGTGGACTAATCTGAAGTATTATCTTCTTTCGCTGATAATTTATATCTTCCGTTTTGCACCTGTATTATAGTACTAGCACCGATTGTTATTGTTATTTTCCTCATTTTGTTTCTCGTTTCAGCTATCACATTCCGTGTATGTATCCAAAATCGATACAAACTCAATAAAAAATACCGGAAACTTCTGGCAGCCAGCAGTAAAGATCCGGAAAACCTTGAGCTTAAAGCTTTGGTAGCTCAGGCCAAGGTATTTTCTTTGACACTGTTTGAACACAGTTTTCCTATTTAACTGTACTTTAACACTTTGCTACTTAAGTTGTAATAAAGCGTCAACGCTTTCAACAGCGGTGTGTAACTTATTAGCAAATTATTTTAATTAGCTGTCGATTTTAATTCTGACATCTCGTGTATCTTATCCATAAATGAATAATATATTTTCGAAATTATAAGGCATAAACAATAATAAACGATTAATTTATTTTCAAGACGTCTGCGAATGCTGAGAACCAAGACAACATATCCGAGCAGAAACGGCAACACGGCAAAAGAGTTCGATATGGGGAAATCATTCAGGTATGCAGTTTACTACCATTCTTGAAAATATATCCTCTGCTGACAATATATTGTTCTAACGTTCTAAAAACGTCTACCAAATGCGTTTCCAGACGTGATTTGTATGGTATTTTTTAATATTGTTCGCTGAAGGACGTACTTTATTGTGATCTTTTCTGCATTATTTTCAGCTCAAGCACGTGTTTACGGATAAGTATGTCCATATCAGCACAACACAGACAAGCCACAGGGACAAAAATAATATGTTGGTAAGGCCATGAATTTAATAAGCGTTTTTCTTATGGCAAGGGGCCTTTGAACATTGGTTACATTGCTTTAATGATATTGATCCGCTGAGTATGGTACAGAATGCAATTTTTGCTACCGGAGGATGGTATGTTTAACTAGTTATTGCATTAAGAGATAGATAACACCCCTTTTGTAAATGTACATTATGACAGGCATAATCCATATTCACTTAGCGATAGGTGTAATTCAGGCTGATAGGATTAAAACAAAATACGGTTTTGTTTTCTCACGTTCGATAGCCGAAGGAAAGGATTACTAGTGGGAATAAGATTGCTGCCTTTTCAAGTGAATGTGATTTGAAACGTTGAGAATGTAATGGTAATAACGATATTCAGCTGACAAAATTTATTAAATTATTCTCGTTTCCAGTATTAGATGCAATGATGTCCTTCGAAGCATTTGTGTCTTAACCTTTTTTATCATGTGATTTCATTTACACCATGTCTTTGTCTCTATGTTCTTAAATAATGCTTAAGTGCGGGCAGGAAACAATGGATATTGACTTTTCTCTTTTCAATTATACTTTGGGAGAAAATGAACTTTTTAAGTACAGAAGGGTACTAGGGAGTAAAAATGCATTGCTTCTTAAAGTGAAAAAACAAATTTGAGACCTTTGTATTGGTTGTTAAATATCACTAAGTTATCATGTGCATGCGATTTCCTTTATTCGTTTCAAAGAAAGGTCCATTTTGCTGCATAGATTTAAAGCTCAACTAATTGTGACCATTTTTATGATATTACTTTTATGACCAAACGGTCCCAGGCTGCCCTAGGCACACCATTTTTGCCTTTGATTTTTATTTCCAGATATCTTTGCACCAATATAATGGCAAGCACGCTCAGTTCAGGATTCTGCCAAGGTACAAAGTGAAATCGGAAGGGGAATACGTAAGTAGCTCTGGTGATGACTTTGTATTCCCATGGTACGATCAAATTAAAACCAATCTACTGGAGATGATACAGTGTCGTACACTTTAAGTCTATTTTCATTGCACCATTTAGTCGAAAAGTCGAATCTTCTCTTCTACCATTATCTACATACAAATAACATAATAAGTGATCATCTCCCTAGGGGTTCATTTGTGACTGGGGCAATTAACATGTTGGATTTATGTGCTCTAGTCCGACACTACTTTCAAAGGGTGGCGCTCTTTTATCTATCATCTATTCCAGTTATTGCTGTAATCGCTTAGTGCTTAAGAGATAAATGCGATTTTCATTTTTCCGTTTTTTTCCATCTGACCTTGCCTTTTATCGTTTTTTCATTTTTCATTTTTCCAAGGTGCAAATATTAGACCAGATCGTGTACGAAAGTTTTAAATCTCAAGGACACTATTTCCACTCAAGTGTACCATGGAATATCGAAAAAGATATGGTTGGGTAGGTTTTAAAGATGAAAATCCAAGGACTTCATTACACTGTTTTGCTGTTACTCGTAATCTCTGTAACACCAGACTATAAGAAAAGACATTTTTCAATTCTTCGTTCTCGTAATATACCCCAAGGAAGTTTGAGGCGAAATGTCGCAATATGCCCAGTTTGATTTTTGTCGCAATTGATGAAAAAGTTGTCCTAGTCACCTCAGATTGCCCCGAGGCAGTAAGTATATTAAGTCTGCTAGATATCGATCAAATTATTTAAGGTCACCACGAAATGTCGTTACTCTTTTTATCACAATGGTACCCATATACATAGGGGGTAGCTTTATGGACATTAGAACGTCACCGAAATGTGTATGTAGGTTTTCAGANTGACCTTGCCTTTTATCGTTTTTTCATTTTTCATTTTTCCAAGGTGCAAATATTAGACCAGATCGTGTACGAAAGTTTTAAATCTCAAGGACACTATTTCCACTCAAGTGTACCATGGAATATCGAAAAAGATATGGTTGGGTAGGTTTTAAAGATGAAAATCCAAGGACTTCATTACACTGTTTTGCTGTTACTCGTAATCTCTGTAACACCAGACTATAAGAAAAGACATTTTTCAATTCTTCGTTCTCGTAATATACCCCAAGGAAGTTTGAGGCGAAATGTCGCAATATGCCCAGTTTGATTTTTGTCGCAATTGATGAAAAAGTTGTCCTAGTCACCTGAGATTGCCCCGAGGCAGTAAGTATATTAAGTCTGCTAGATATCGATCAAATTATTTAAGGTCACCACGAAATGTCGTTACTCTTTTTATCACAATGGTACCCATATACATAGGGGGTAGCTTTATGGACATTAGAACGTCACCGAAATGTGTATGTAGGTTTTCAGAAGCCATTCTAATGGTGAGCCAATGAGGAAGGTCCTCGTTAGTGCAATTTACATTAACTTGATAGAGACGGGGTCATTGTTCGCCGTCAGCGTCTTGAGATTAAGCCCTCAGATTGATATTTTGATATCTTGCATGTCAGTAACACTGTCAAAATACGGTTGCAGGCATCTGGGTCTCTTTGATAAATTGCATCTACATTTTTTTTTTTTTTTGCAAAATTTAATTGTATACTTTCATTTTTATGTCATAAATTAAATTTGAAACCACGAGTTTGCTTTTTCTTCTGAGTGAATTCTGGAACTACATGTATGTGCTCAACATAAACATGGTTACACGTAAAAGTACGGACATCCACTTCCTGTATAGCTACCTATAGCAATCGCGTTGATCTTTTTTTTTCAGATCGGAATTGAACTTAGGGGTGGCACAGACAGGCTTCACAGTAGTAAGATATTACAGACCAAGTGATGAAAATGAAGCGAATGTCAGAGTAAGTGTCTTTGTGAATTGGACATGATTTACTTGTTTTCTTGTTGTGAAAAAGACATCAGCGGATTTTCATGTCTTTGTTTTTTATCAAGTCGACAACAATTATTTCATGAACAGTCATAGATTAAATCATTTATCCATAAAATATTTACTCCGTCTATTTCTATTATCACAGGGAAGTAGTTTTATACGCCTTTTTCACAAAGAACTGGAAGCATACCTTGTCGCAGAGGGATTGTTTGGTGAACCCGTACAAGAAGAGGGTTTGTAGATTGCATATTCATAATTAAATATAATTAAGCCTTTTAATCCGCTAAAACGATAATCATTTTTAAAATTAAAAGTAATCTTTGGATAGCGTGGTAATACAAGTGGTATTTTGTGACTCTGGTACTCAAATTTTTCAAATGTAGCGTTGATTCGTCCCATGGTATTTGTCAACATCGATTGGACGTAGAAAGACCGCATTGATAGCGTAGCCCAGTGCTCTTTCCCGTCTAATTACTGTTAGTGGTAAAACATGTTGTCAGTCCTCTAACAGCCAGCAAGTAGTGTGTATAAAATGATACGTTAACCAAACACATTGAAACGACACTCCCAACGGGGACGGAAAGGCATTTTCTTAGTATAGTTATTCATACATTTTGCATTGCAGTCCATCTACGGATTAGAGAGATTGACCAGCTGAACCCCCGGACGCTCTCGCCACCTAATTCCGCCATCACCTACTGGCAGGTCGAGCCTGAGGATACCATCCTTAATGGTTTGTTAGAAATATTCTTAATGGTCTGTGTCCTTAATTGAGTGACATATGTATTTTAAGTTTGTCATTTGGCGCTAGTACATTTGTAGTCTAGTTAGTGTTAAGGCGTAAAGCTAAGCCATCGTGCTTTACTAATGGTATCCATCCATTTAGAGCTGGCGACTTACGTCCTAAATATAAGTGTGTTTTATCGACTTCTTAGTCCAGAGTTCAAAACTACCACACGCGATTTTGAGCATTTTCGATATTTCCACACGATTTTTACAGATTTACCGCCTGCCTTACACATTTCTCCAAAACTTGCCAATGAAGCCCACAACATTACCGAGTTTCTCCACATACAGTTTTCCTACTTAGCGTGTGTTTCATCGGCAGCGAAGTGGGGAAACTAAATTGGCAGTGTTGTGGGACATATCGGTGGGTTGTGGAAAAAAGTGTTAGAACGGAGGGGGGGGGGGGGGGGGAAATCTGTAAAAATCTGTAGAAACAACGTTAATGCTCACACAAAAAAAATCTCGTGTGGTGGTAAGGGAGCCCTGACGTCCAGCCACATGCTTTTATTAAAACTTGACTTTAAAAGGATGTCTTAAAATATTGAGAGTATCATTTGGCGTTTTGTACTTACATTCCTTTTCTCAGGTCTTGTAAATATAGATAAGAAATAGACTTAAAGTATACTAAAAGATAGAGCAATATAGAAGAAAATCAGTTATACTCTATATATACTTCATAATCTGTGAATATCAGGTGGGGTCGTTAGATGGGAACAGCAAGTGCGGTTGCGGCACGTCACAACTAGAAGATTCCTGTGTCTGGATGCGGATTTTGAAGTGTGCCTAACAGCCGAGGAAAACGATCCGCGGTCGGTATTTAGATTCCATCCAGTGCTATCGGTAAGTTTCACCCCTTCCTTTAGCCTTATAGTCTTTTGGTTACATGTCAAAATGATATAGACTGTATTGATAGAAGAGAAAATGTTTCTCTTATATTATGTAGGTTAGTGCTTCTTTGTGCAAATGTGATTGTTTATCATTTTAGAACCCTCATATACGCAGTTCAGTTGTACTGGCGTCACTCGCATAGCTGAGCCTTGACGACATAGGCTTCGTTTTACAAAGGCTTCTGTTTCCATGTCTATTGTAGAATTGCTAGACACTCATCCTCCATGTAGTGCCTGAACACATTAAGGATGTTCTATAGTTGAGTGTAGCTACCACCAGTCTCTTGCCAGCTTCTTTTGAGATTTCTGTGGAGGAGCCCATTTCACTTGCGAGTGACTCTCCGACAGACACTCAGCTACCCTTCCACTGGAGAGGGAAAGTGGTCCATTTTTTTCTCGTTCACTTCATAATGCACCGATTATTGTTTGCCCTACTATTTGGTGTGTTACTTCGAAGAAGGAGTAATATGTGCGTGCGCGCGCGCGAGTGTGTGTATGAATAATAATTCTGACTTAAAGTATCGCAGTAAGTCTATGACACAAAAGACAACCTACATGTATCTCTGTCGGTGTAACATAATCAAAAACTGTATGCTGCGTCAATATTTGGTGGTTTATGAATATATCAGTGAATCCCATCCCTCTCCAACGGAAAATAAGCTGAGAGGTCCTGCCGAAAACGACGTTTGGCGGAAAGGTAGCTGAAAGTAGTTGTGGAAAATATGCAATCGCAGCTCTCTCTGAGAGTTGCCGTCAATGAATTTCACTCGCAAGTGGGATGTATTTCACTAGTTATTTCGGGACTTAGGAGACTCGTGGCGGTTACTTTCAGCGGAGAATCGCCCTTACAATTACATTTGTTCCATTAGATCAGAAAAAATGACCACCACTTTAAGTTTTTTTTTTTTTTTTTTTTTTGAGAAGGAATGTAGATGGGGAGGGGTTGATATCGTTGCTTTTGTTGTAACTTTTATCAGTGTATACATTTGACTTGTCTAGAGAGTCAGCTACTGTTAAAGAGTGTGCGCCTACTTTCACGTATATCTTAATAAAGCTCAACACGCATTATTATGCAAAACTCCGCAAAAAAATCTTTCACTTTGCCTCTATGAATATGAAGCTGAGAGAACAAGATTTGGACCCGGACACACCGGTAAGCTGTTATGAAAGTGACAGTGATTGGGCTGGGTTCTGCCGCTTTTTTTCATGAACCACAAGTGTGATTTTAATAGCATTTTAGCGCTGGTGTGTCGTTCTTGACGATAACATTACCGATGCTAAGCCGAATTTGGCATATTACTGCGCACTGCTGATAGTCATCAAGTGGGATAAGGTGTCAACTATATGCTTTTATCTCCAAACTTTAGAACATTTTGTATTTTTTCTGGAAATGGTGGCACTTAAAACGTCCTAGAGCCATTTGTCTTCATTAATAAATCATAAGTCCACAAAGCGAGCACCAATTTTCTAGGAACTTCACCTTGACTTGTTACTAATTCGTACAAATGTCACACAATAACTGTTAGATCTATAGGAATAAAATAATTTTGAACTTAGTTCAGATGTCTGTTAACCCAGATGACTAAACCACAAAATAAGCTTAATTCTGTAACTTTTCACCGTTCTTCCACAAGAGGAGAAGTCAATTCCTTCAACTTTAGTCTGGCTTCTGTAAACTGTTTCCTTTAATTTAGCTTCCATTAATTTCATTTGGAGTGTTAGTTTACCAACCTTTAAACAAGATGGTACCGATTTTTGTTTGGTATCCCTTAGATGAAATAAGTAGCTATATTGAAATTTACAGATCATAAGCACTTTTCATCGACAGCGCTGTAGTGTTTTTTAGTTGTCAGAATCAGAAGTGTCCACTATGAGAAATAATCACCCACGCCGAGGCCACCCTTAAGGCTTATTTAACCTTAAATGTGTGTCACAGAATTGTTAACAGGTCGGGGTATATTGTTGAGTGTGAATTATGTATACCGTTACCCTAAAACATCACTTAAAGCTCCTTCCCATCCCGCCTTTATAAACCCAAAACAGCACGTTTTGAGCAGTAAGGTCTTGATGCTTTTCTTATTATTTACGCAAACGATGGATAAAAATATGTACCATTTATTTGATTTGTGTCATTGTGACACGAAAAAAGTGGTGCTTCTTTGAAAAAAGCGACTGCAGTTAGTCTGTCCTTCATTATATTCCGTTACTACATATTCAGGAGGGACTTGACAAGCGTCCAATGTATAGCAGCATGCTTGGATGCGAGATGCAATCCTTTAAAACCCAATGTTTTTGTTTGTATTTCAAATGCTTTGCATTGGCTTAACGTTTTGCTGTATGCTTTTTTGTATTTCAGCTGTCGGATTTTGTAAGTAATTACTTGATAGGTTGCCCAATTGCACGCTGTCCCGTATTTGTTGATGTCGTAGATCGAGTAGGCATGCTAGTTTTCTCTAGAATGGACCATAATTTAGTTTTAGAATATAGTTCTAGAATATTTAGAGGCTGGAATCCATAACCAAACTTTATTACGGATGTTTAGAAAGAAACAAACAATAGGGGATAAACGTTATTAAGTTTCACATATTATCGAAGGTTTAGTTAGGCAGCTTCCCGAACTATACAAGTTAGTTACTTTTAGAATGCTTCGACAATTACAGGCAAAGCATGTTTTAATGTTCTTTGAAAAATATTGTTTCGCATTAGAAGATGGTCACAGTAAAATAATGAGGTTTTGAGTTATATAATGCCTGTAGAAGGTACATTGTGGTATATTTGAATTTTGTATTGACTATTAAGGTGTCGGGTTTCAATGAGAATGGCGAATGTTGCCTGTGACTGCTCCTATTTTTAAGAATCCCTCTACAATTTCTATGCATCGGCATGAGTTTTAGGAATTTGAAGTCGCCTTGCCAGCAGATGCATTATTTTGACACTTGTTTCCTTTTGTTTGGAATATTTTGTTTGATTTTGGACTATTTTTATGACCCGATTTTGGATTGTATGCAACTATAAACACATGAAGTGTTTTGCATGTTTTGTACTGTACCCCCGAACCAATTTCTGAATTTTGACGCTATTGGTACTAACATGGTCAACGCAATGGTAGCTACTTACCTTTTCCTTTAGAAAAACACATCCCGTGTTTCACCAACAATTTGGGAATATTAATACTTTCCCTCTTAATACTAATAGTGTTTGTTTAAAATGGAAAATGACATTTTGTTTGATTTAGATAGAAGGAATTCGCGTATTGTGTTGTATTTATGCCAAAGACAGATGTAAGACGTCAGATTGTGCATTTGGAATGGTTTTATTGCATATCCATTCCCAACAACATATTAAATAATATTTTCTTTGCTGCTGTTGATATTTTTGCATATTTGCTCATAAAGTTGCCATAATATAATGAAGCTATTGAAAAAAAAAGTAATTTAAGAAAGAAGTGACGTGGTTTGCTGACCTTAGCAACCCGTAACATTTTAGCATTTTATCAAATATTATCATCTGTTTAATTTTACACATATTTTATCTGTAAATGCATCTTGGCATCTTAGCATTGCATTCATTACTATCAATATTTTTGCATATTTATCTGTAAATGCATATTTTTTGGGTTAATTTTGTAATAATTTTATTAAAATTGTCTACGGTAATGCATAACACAAATGTTTGTACAAGTACAGTTGATTGAATTGGATTGAAAATTTAAAGAAGTGATTTTCTGATTCAGGTGTGTTATTCTGTTCTGTTCACTCTTATTATAATCTAATCTAATCTAATCTAATCTTTAATAATTATGTTTAACAGGAACAAAATGAGATAGACTTCGAGAGTTACTGCCGGATTGAGCACGTTTTGACAGGAAATTGGTTACACGCTCTGAAAGGTAAAAAAAGGGGACGTTTTATTTCTTTGACCCCCTTAAAACTTAAAAAAGCTGCAAATGGAAACTTGTTTCATATGTGATCCCATTTCAGTAATCCCTCGGCGTTTTAGCACGCGCGCGCGCGCGCACACACACACATTATTTACCTTTGTCAAGTGACGTAATGTCATGAGGAGGTTTTCCATATATCTTGTGAATAAAATTTTTCTTTACTTACTTTTTAGATGAACCGTATCAACGGAGGCGTGATATGGGCCGTGAAAATGATCGCAGCATGCAGGCACTTAGGTGGGATGGGGGAGAGGTTCGCAAGGTACCGTGAAACACCAGTTCACCTTCTGTTTAGTTGTTCACTACATTGCACATAAAAAGAATAATCAATTTCAAGTGATATTTTGGATTAATATTAACTCTAATGATATTGTAAAATTCATGCAAGATCTCATGGATATCGTTATTTGTCTATTCCTCAGATATCTTCGACAGAAAACCGGCGTTACGTAGACGTGTTCACAATACATGAAGTGGAATGGGAACAGATCTACAGTGCTAACTTTGTCGCTGGAATGGTGCCCTTCTTGTCAAAATTGATAGAATCGGTAAACTATTGACCTTGCAAACTTTTATGTCTGTTCGTTGGATATCATTTTGGGTTAAACGACTTAAAACGATGTACTTCTATCAATGGTTAATTTAACACATTACAAAAATGGGTTGTTAATAAGTTTTACTTAGTTAATGATTGAGATACCTGTATATAGGCTTTCATTATTTTTTTTTCTAGCGTGAAGAATGTGATTATCTCAATGCGATGAAAACGCACCAAATCACAACTGTAAGTACAAAGAAATAACATTGTCTGAGGAGTTGTATTGATGTACTGTAGAGGTGGGCCAAAGCATCCCATTCAATTAGGTCAATAATTCATGATCAAATGACAAACATACTCTCTTTGAATATTTCATCTTACAAAAAGATCACGTTTGACAGTTGTTGTGTTCTCAATATTTGTAGGCGCTCCAGGAATTGAAGCAGTTCATGATCATCAATGGCGAAACATACAAAGATCACCAGAAGTTGATGAGGAATTTCAGGGTAAATAAAAAGTTTTAAAAACGTTACCAAAACGAACGGTTTATTCCAAAAGACACCGAGCATTAATTGCTAGCATGTTTTATTTGGGATATTAACTGAAAAATCAAAATCAAGATAATTTGCACGAATATCTTAGTTTTGGATCTTGTATATTCATTTTTAGTGTGCTCTTAACCGTTATATCCTTATTTTTAACAACGAACCCCTATTAAGACTATATTGCTTTATTTGGTTTCCAGATAGTTGACCTACTTGTACAGCTGCTCCAGAGTCCACTTCAAGATGCCCCGGACAGCAACTACCTTCTTAGCGTATTCAAGGAGGCGTATGACATCTTGTATACTTACATGACCGGAAACAGTAGGAAGAACGCGCTCTACTTCGCTAAGTACATCGAGTTCTTTCAAACGCAACTGAGCCTAAAGGTAACTACTGATAATTAAATGTGACATTTGTAATAGTAATTACTTTTGCATAAGACCAGGGACAATCACATTTTAGTTAGACGCACTCAGTGCTGCTTATTTTACGCCAAATGACAAGGCAACTCGCCGTACGGAGCGTGCATGTTTGTTTCTAATTTGCTCAGAAAAACAAGGACATAATGCTGGTGCTATCTTATAATAAAGATTCTTAACATTTTAATCGGGAGTGTTGCCCTCAGCGTTAAGTGTACATTTGAATGCGCCCTTTTTAAATTAGAATAATGAGGTAATGCACGGTTACATCTAATATGTTATTAATGTACAGGCGTCAACCAGCGTTATGATAAAGCAATACCATCTGGTAGTAGTGGATCCTACTTTAAAGGTTACGTATACATAATTGGAGTTAGAGTTGCCATTTTGCAGATAGCTATAGCTGCATGGCAGTGAACGTTTAGCGGGGGTGCAGATAGCATGACTTTACTATGTTCCTATATTGCTTGTATTATACGGCGTAGCATCCAGGCATGTTAGGCATGGTATGCAAGCGGGGAATGTCCAGTTTTATGGTGGACATGCAAATGCATCTAATTTTTATAATCATTATTGATATAAACGCTCGTTATTTGTACTGATATTGTTATCTTACATAACAGAAGATTTTCTGCGCTGCTGTATTTATTACATTTATGTAGCTAAGCGTTTCTCCCTGTGCGCATCTATATTCAACATGGCATAAGGTTCGGCTGCGATCGAAAGCATTTTAGCGTTGCGTGTTTTATTGTTACAATTATGTGAGTGTTGATTTTGGTTCAGTTTTCAGTAGTTGTTTTGTGAGGTCTTTGCAACTGGTATTACATGTTTGTTGTTATGCAACGACAACGACAAATTAATCATCGAAAACAGAAAGTGTTTTCCTACAAAAGTATGTAAAATTTTGCCATTTGAAAAGTGTGGCACTAAGTATAACTAACCAGCCATTCATGCAGTATGCCTTCAATTAAAAATAAAAAAAACAATCAATATCATTTTCATTTTCTAAAATTCTTACAGAACTTGATAAACTCTTTAGTTTACCGAAATGGTTCTGTTGATCCCCTCTCCTAACTACGTAACGGTATTGCGTAGTTAGGGTGATTAACTCTGACGTGCGTTTTCGTGTCAACGATTTGCTATAATTTCAGCAAATGTTTCTGTTTTTTGTCTTGCTTCAACGTTTGTATCGTGTCTGTTTGTGACGTTAAAAATTCATGGCTATTTTTTGTTCAAACTTTGTAACATGAATGAATCTCAACGGTAAGTTCTTGCATGATATTTGCCTATTATATACGGACGGAGGATGTATTATTCCAAGACATTAATAGCGGCACAATGTGGCAGCACCATCTGCATGGGACTACGTCGACAGTTGTGATTAGTGTAGACTTTCGTGTTGGTGATATATGTAACACCGTTTTGTTTTTGTGACATCGTTGTTATCTGATATATATATTGATATTCTTATTTTGTATTTATATTTTCTTTATTTAGTTTTTCGTTTAATAAAACATACACATGCGTTGAAGTTCGACCTAGGATTGACTGAGAATGATTTTGAATTTCGCAAAAAATATGTCGTTTCAGAAAAGCTTGAGGATATCTTATTGAAAATATTACAACGCGTTCTTTTGCAGTGTTCTGTATGGATATCAAATTTGCGCATTACTCCAAAACTGTGTTAAACTTCATTTTTTCATTATTGTTTTCAGGGCGACATTGGTTTGAATGTAGCTCAGATGTTGGTGGAACTGATCCGCGATAACAGACAGATCGTGGACAGAATTACACACGAACAGATAGATATATTCGTTGATCTTCTTAGACAAAGAAAGGTAAACATACTATGTATTTACACACATAAATAGACCCTGTTATATATTTACCATATATCTGCGTAGATCCACACTTAAGCATCCCATGATCACGATCTTTGTTAATGAGCTTCGTATTTTAATCTTATATGATACCATAGATGTATTACGAAACGAAAATACTTAGACATTTAAAAAAGAGTGGATGTTTCGGAAGGACTATAGTTGTGTATGCTGTATTTTAAAAGCAGATCAGAATATTAAAAGAAGTTTCTTAAACGTTATACTCTTCGTGCTATTAATTTCACGGAAAACAACTTTAATTGTGTTATGGTGATATGTATTGATAATTATAAATCTGTTGAATCCATATTACAGAACTACCGTTTCTTGGACCTGCTGAATGTCCTTTGTGTATGTGATGGTAAGACGATCCTGGAGAATCAGTCCTACATCACGGAAACCTGGCTACGACATGACAAGGTATCTTTTGATGCTAAAACATGTCATATACACCTTACCGGGGTAAGTTGAGCCTTTATGTTTGAGATTTGAAAAAAATCGATCCTGTTACCAAGGTAACGGCTTATCCAATTGGAAACCTAGGAGAGATTAAGCTTTTGCCCCCCCCCCTCCCAATGCAAGCGCTTTGTCAACACGCACGCACACACACACATACACGCACACATACACGCACACACACACACATACACACACATACATACACACACACACATACACACACATACACACATACACACACGTTAATTCCATATATTGGATAGAACTTTTTTTTTTGGGGGGGGGGGGGGAGGGTTCTAACTCGCCTTATTTAAAAGAGGTATCACACATTTAACAGTTTCGATCTCTCTTACGATTTCAAATGGATGGCCCAAAGATAAATGTTTTTTGTTTTATGTTTTATGTTTTATTCATGTTATGTGGTGTCATTTGATTTGTGACTGTGTTCTATAACCTTCATTTAGTCACTCAGTTATATAAATCATACGTCCAATTAGTGCCTGAACCGTGGTTTGTTATACGGTGTAGTAAAAGTTATTTACAGGTTTTCTCTTATATGTATTGTTTTTGTCTAGTGTCATATACTTCCTAATTCTCAATGTGCATGCCTTTATAGAGTTCATATTGCGTATACTCCCAAAAGCCAACTGAAGCTGAGACTAACTTAGGCCTATGCTTACAGACGGTTTCAATTCGTTATCACATTAATTAACGCAATCAATAGAACCCTGCCGTACCTCATCAGTCACGTTAGCGTACCGTTTGTACACTGTGTCTACATGTAATTTGTATATTGTGTTGTTCTGTATATTATGTGTCTACATATAATATGCTATAAATGTTTTGCTGTGGATGTTATTTATCTGTGTGTGGATTTCTTGGCTCAACTTGCCCAAGCAAATAAAAGCAATGGACTGATATGGGTGTTAAGAGAGATATTTTTCATGCATCTTTGAAATTTTCAGCATTTATTATTTAAGTTACGATTCAATTTTGATTTTACAGGCAGACGTATATTTGATCGAGAGAGGCCAATACATACACAAAGAACATAATGTTGTGTACATATCCACGGACGCTGGTCACACGTGGGTTCCCCTCCACCAGTTTGCCAATGTAAGAAGCCTGGCGTTTTGAACGAAAGACGATAGATTTCTATGCCACATAAAGACCTGTAGTATTTAACATTACGAAGCTATTTTTATTGTGAAAAAATCACCCTACTCCACT